CCTGAACCCAGGAGGCGGAGGTTGCGGTGAGCCGAGATTGCGCCATTGCACTCCAGCCTGGGTAACAAGAGCGAAACTCCGACTCAAAAAAAAAACAAAACAAAACAATACATTGTTAATAAAATAAATAGAAAGATGTTCATGCAAACAAATAGTTGCAATACCTTATGCAAATAAAATAATAGTAGCATATTGGAGATACAGTAGCAGTAAAGGGTAACATGGATCTGCTTGAGTAGATCAGGAATGGCTTCTCAGGAAAAAACACCCTTGAATTGGTTTATTTATTTATTTACTTATTTATTTATACACAAGATGTGGCTGTCACCCAGGCTGGAGAGCAGTGACGTGAACACGGTTCACTGTAGCCTTGACCTCCTCGGCTTAAGCAGTCTTCCTACCTCAGCCTCCAAGTGGCTGGGACTACAGGCACTCACCACCACCCTTGGCTAATATGTTTGTTTGTAGAAACGTGGTTTTGCCATGTTGCGCAGGCTAGTCTTGAACTGGGCTCAAGCCATCATCCTGCCTCTGCCTCCCAAAATGCTGGGATTACAGGCATAAGCCACCTTGCCTGATATGAACTGGTTCTTGACCAAGATAATGAAGTCAAGGAGGTCTTTGTGCTAAGTGTCAGAGGCAGAATGATACGCTTTGGTAGTTTTTCATGGCTGTAAAGAAGTGGGGAGACTGTGATAGGAAATTAGGCTAGAGACACAGGCAAAGGCCAAAAAAATTAAGGGCCTGTGCTATGCTTAGAAGTTTGTACTTTGAGGCCGGGCGTGGTGACTCACGCCTGTAATCCAAGCACTTTGGAGGCCAAGGCGGGCGGATCACCTGAGGTTGGGAGTTCAAGATGAGCCTGACCAACATGGTGAAACCCTGTCTTTAAAAAAAAAGAAGAAGTTTGTACTTTAATCTGTAAGTGATGGGGAACCATTGAAGGGTTTTTAAAAAATAATTTATATTGCTTTTGTTTTTTGAGATGGAGTCTCGCTCTGTCACCCAGGCTGGAGTGCAGTGGCATGATCTCGGTTCACTGCAACCTCTGCTTGCTGGGTTCAAGTGATCCTCCCATCTCAGCCTCAGCCTCTTGAGTAGTGGGGACTACAGGTATGCACCACCATGTCCAGCTAATTAAAAATTTTTTTTTGAGACAAAGTCTCGCTTCATCGCCCAGGCTGGAGTGCAGCGGCGCAGTCTCAGCTCACTGCAACCTCTACCTCCCGGGTTCAAGCGATTCTCCTGCCTCAGCCTCCCGAGTAGCTGGAACTACAGGCATGTGCCACCACGCCTGGCTAATTTTTTGTATTTTTAGTAGAGATGGGGTTTCACCATGTTAGCCACCCGCCTCAGCCTCCCAAAGTGCTGGAATTACAGGCATGACTCACCGCACCCCACCATATTGCTTTTTCTGATTATAAAAGTAATATATGCTTTTTGAGAGAAAAATTGGAAAATGCACAGAAGAATAAAAATTATTATCCCACTGTCCAGAAATAATTGTTAACATTTTGGTATTTTTTTTCTTCCAGGTATACACACACATAGATAGATACATACATTACATACGTAGACACATAAATACATAGCTGGAATGATAGATATATAGAGACAGAGAAAATAATTTTTTTTCCATTCATGATAGGACTGAATTTTAGAAAATCACTGTATTCGTTTCCGGGGCGGTTGTACAAATTACCACAAATTTGGTGGCTTAAAACAAGAAAAATTTATTTTCTCACAGTTCTGAAGGACAGAATTCTGAAATCATTATCACTGAGATGAAATCAAGGTGTTGGTAGGGGCACACTCCTTCCAGAGGCTGTAGAAGAGAATCTGTTTCTTGTCTCTTCCAGCTTCTGGTGGCTGCCGGCATTCCTTGGCTTGTGGCCCTTTCACTCCAATCTCTGCCTCCGTCATCACATGGCCTTCTCCTTGTCTCTGTGTGTCAAATTTCTCTCTCTCTTATCAGGACATTTGTCGTTGCATTTAGGGCCCACCTGGATAATCTCCCCATCTCAAGATCCTTAACTTAATCAAATCTGTGAAGTCCTTCTTTTCTGCCATATAAATTAACACTCACAGGTTCCAGGGAAGAGGACATGGATATAACCCTGGCAACAGAGTGTAGAGTAGATTGGAGGAGATATGCTAGGAGATAGGGACACCAATTAGAATACAATCATGATTGTCAGGGAAGCTTGGC